ACTGATGGCTGGAAACAGGCAGCATAAATAGGAGCTGGAGCAGGTGGATCAGATGAGTAGTAATGAGAAAACAGGGCAGAGATAGACAGGGGAATTACATGAGCAATCAAGCCAGCCATCTGCTCCAAGGTCACGACAGGCACAGCTTGATTTCAAAAGCGGGACTAACAGGGTCAGCCTCATCAGGTTAAAATCAATCAGATAACTGTACGTTTGTGGCACAGTTTCTGTAGTCCGTCAAACATGTCATGCTGTTGAAGAGTGAACAGTTTCTGCAGGTTTTACCTAACAAATCAAAGTTTCTAACGTGTGCTATGTAAAGGAAAGACTTCTGCTGCACTCTGTTAGTTGCTGTTGCTCCATTGATGCTAAGAAATGTTGTGTCTAAATCTACTCTGTCCAACTCGGCATGCAGAGGAATCCAGCAGCATTATGTCACTGACTGACAGATCCGATGCATGACTGTTCCACGCGGGTAAGACCCTCTGTGAATATGTGGCTAGCTTCCTGGCCTTTTTGTTCTTCCACCCACTAGTTTGTTTTGGCAGCCACGCACGTCTGGTGTGTTTGCAGGGCATTGGGTCGCTCCAGGTTCTGGTAGTAGTGACCCCCCCCTCCGCCCCTCCAGTCACCTCTGATTCTGCTGACAGGGCCCAACCCACCATGAGATAATGTCATTCCAGAGGGATTGTTGTCAAAGCCCGTCGTTCTGGTCCTCAGGTATATAAAGAGGTTTCAGCTGTGAATCAGGGGATGAAGCAACCGGGGAAACATTCTTTTTTTATCGTCCGAGTTGTATTTTCATTTCTGGACTTTGAGTTCTGCGGCTGAATTTGCCAAACCAAGGCAAAACAGTTTCCGGTCACTATGGATATTGCCATCCAGCACCCCTGGTTTAGACGTGCCCTGGGCTCCACCTATCCTGCCCGACTCTTTGACCAATTTTTCGGAGAGGGAATTTTCGACTATGACCTTTTCCCCATCACCACCACCATCAGTCCCTATTATAGACACTCGCTGTTCCGCAATCTTCTGGATTCCTCCAACTCCGGGATCTCTGAGGTAAAACTGCTACAGATTAAGATTCCTTAAACTGGTTTAAGTCATTTTTAATTGTACATGAGGGAGAATGAATGTCTGCTTTGCTGCGTAAACATATCTGTGACACCTGTTTTTTTCAGGTGAGGTCTGACAGGGACAAGTTTACAGTCTACCTGGATGTCAAACACTTCTCCCCTGATGAGCTCAGTGTGAAGGTGACTGATGACTACGTGGAAATCCAGGGCAAGCATGGAGAAAGACAGGTGATGCACAAGTAACATGGTGAACATGACAACCAAAGCTCTTCTGTAGCCATGCTGCTAAACGGTAGGGTTCCAATTGTCCATTAGAAAACTATAGACTTATCCTAACTCAGATTTACAGGGATCGTAGTCCTTTGTTTCGATTTTAAAACACAAATTCTTTATTGTGCCACATAAATCTATAATCAGATATCTAGATATGGATCCTGCAAAAATACTGACACAAGAATTTAGGAAAGAGGGAAACAAGGAAGTACACAAGAAAAAACAACATAAGGGAATAAGGAAACAAGGAATAATATAGGAAATAGGAAACAGGTGAATTATGGGGAAAAACGGAACCAATTTAGAGAATACAATTAAAGACATGAAAGAAGGAAGTAAAAACTAAGGTTAAAAGAAAAAGAATAGAGAGAATGAGAAGTCGAGGACAGTGAAGAAGAGAAGGAGGTAGGACATCAGGACGGAAGAGAGGACAGAAAAAAGGAGAGGATGAGGACAAATACGCCAAGGGAAACAGAGACAACACAGTAAAGGGACGAGAGGATGGAAGGAAAGGAGTTCATACAGACACAAGATAGGAAACAAGATGGGATGCAAGATAATACACAAGATAGGAAACAAGATAGAACACTAGACGAGACACAAGATAGGACACAAGGTAGGACACAAGATAGGACCCAAGGTAGGACATAAGGTAGGACATAAGGTAGGGAGAATACCATAAACAATAAATATTATAGTAGACAAGGCTACAAAGACGGAATGACAACTTTTATAGCAAAGGTATAAAGGTAGAATGTAAAGGTGATTCAATCTACTTCCAACTGTAGATTTCATCTTGGTGGTTCTTTAAAAGTTCTAATGAGTAACCCTGGAAGGTGAACTGAAACATATGATATTCCACATATTGGCATTGTTTTTGGAAAGAAACATAATTTCAAACTAAAAAGCTCTAACTGTGCGTCCAAAAACCACACGGACTCAGCGCTAAGAGATGGCGCTGGTTGGACTTGTCAATCTGGAAGAGGAAGAACCGCCTTTTTTGCTCATGCGCAGTGCTCCAGGTTCTGGTAAATTGGCTCTTAGCTCTGCTTCAAGACCAAGATTGTCTACGCCCACCTTACGATGGCCGACTCAATTTCCACCATGTTTGATTTTCTCCAGACCAGATTCCTGATGTTAGAGGCTGATCGGCCCTCGTTACCCCCATACACTACAAGACGCACCATCAGGCTGAAACTGGACCCCATTGAAAAATTCTCACACGACTGGAGAATCGGCCCGAAAAGGGCAAAAAATCGTACAGTCTATGTCTGGCTTAAACAGATTTGGTCCAGAATGTGAGTGGTCTTTTCCTCACCCCTATAGACTTGTACAAGTCCTGAATAGAGGAAAGGTCAACCCTCATTGCCCTGTCACAAAGCATGTTGCAATTTAGCCTCGTTCACATGAAGGCATCAAAAGCATCTTGTGTATATACCAAGTCTATGGGGGACACCGCTGAGAGGTCCAGCGGTGCGTTCGGATGTTGGGAGCGGCACATGTTGAGCGTTCGGGGTCCAAGTGTTTTGTGCATCAGAGCATTCAATGCTGGAGTTCAGTAAACATTTGCCGCTGTACACCGGAGCATCAACCATTCAGAAAAGCTTTGTGGAGTAAAAAAAATGTTGAGGTATGTCTGTTCTTAGCCTCGCAGGCTCTAAACAAAGGTCATGAGAGATAAAAATGAGTTACACAGCTTCCTTAATGTCATGAAGGGGAG